ATCTGGTGAAAGGTTAGTAAGTAGGAAATCATCAGTAGAGGAAGAATGAATTGTAAGTAAGGTTTTATCATAGAAATAACATTGATTTTCAGGCCAGTAGAATGACACTATACACAAGAAATTATGCTTTGTGATTGTTTTGAACACTTCTTATATTTGTTGTAAATAATAAAATTTCCCAGGTACCAGTCTTATAGGACTTCATTTCTCAAACAAAGTATATGTAAATATGTCTTCTCAATAAAATCTATCTAGGATGATTATAGATTCATTTTTTAAAATATTTCTGAGCATTTTTTTCCTCACATATTTTAAGCATCTTTATCAAGCTAAAGTTAAAAACCAAAATCTCATTTTAGCAGGAAACTTCTGCCTCTGGAAATGCTTTTATGCATTTCCTCAACCAAACCTCCTCTGAAGGAAGGCTAATTATAGGCTTCAATATGCACCTGGGTGAAAATTAGCTTTTAAGCAGCCTTTAAAATAAGTGGTTTTTAATTATTATCATTTTCCAAAAGCTGCATAAATGCCCTTAATTGTGCTTATAAAGTAACATTTGCTATAATCACCTTTAATATCCAGGAGCAACATAAAGGTTTTCTTTTCTTTTTTACTAAAAAAAAGTGGAAAGAACATTCATTATCAATTCACAGGTCATTTTATTGTATTTTATGAGAACAAATGTTTTAATTGAAATACATCAACTGCTAAACATATACTGAATGCCAGTTACTTAAAATCAAACTTAAAATACCTTGAAAATATGCTTAATTACTGAAGATTAAAGGTAAATATACAAGATATTCAGCTATAATGTTGAATTTTCTTATTTGATTATGCTTAGGTATTAAACATAACATTTCTATAGAGAAGATAAAACACGCCCATTTAAAAAATAAGAATTTGCTTTATTTATTTAAAAATTATTTGACCCAAAACATTTTTTCTCTTAAGAAATGATAATACTTAAAATTGCTGTGTTTGTGCTTGTGTGTGCCTGTGTATGAGTCAGAGAATAACTTTTGTTTCCACAAAACTTACTTAAAGGCAAAATGCACTACAGGTCTATTTTTATTCAAAATTAGAGGCAAAACATTTTTTTAAAAACACATGCAAACAAATCGAAAACACCTATAAAATAGCAGCTTGAGGTAGACATGATGAAGGGGTGGAGAGCAGAAGCAGTATGCTGCGATAATTTGGGGTGGCATAGCAGCTGACTTAACTTTTGTTGTTTTTCTTTTGATTATTTTATTTCTGCAGCTACTTTTTATAAGAAATGTGTGAGAGATGAAGGTGTGGTATTTTAAAAACACTGTGTGCAAATTTTTATTTGGGATTAAAGAAAGTATTCTTCCAGACAATGATTCAAAAACTAACTATTAGAATAATTATTAGATTAAATGAACTATATTTTTAATATTATATGTAATCACAAATCCAGTATCAATCAGTAAATTCTGATGTTAATTTATTTACTCTCATATGATTAATTACAGTCATAAAATTGAAATGTGTTATTGGGTACCATTCTTAAAAACTCCAAATGGAAGGTGCAAAGCTGTAGCTTCGCAGGGATCATAATAATTATTGCATTAAACGATTTGGATGATTGAGGCTGAAATCTGTGATTATATTTTTGCACTCCTGACTAAGTTTATTTCCAGTCTTTGTTGGGAATGGGGCCCTTATTTGTGAAGACATAGTAAGTTCTATGTTAATGGAGGGACACGTTGTGTGGAACTCATTTCCTAACCTGGTCTTTTCTACTTTGCATAGTTTCATCCTCCTAAGGACCCTTAAACTGACTCATCCTCCTAAAGACCCTAGATGTGTAGAAGGGAGTTATAAAACATCAAGTAAATCAATAAATAACTCAATCTATGAAGATATCATTGGACATGAATTTATAGATCTATAACCACCAATGATATATTTTTATTTTTAAAACTTTAGGGGTTTTGTTTTGTTTTTATAAATGGTATGTTCTGCAAAATTATAGAAATGAAGAGCAATTTTAAGATATTATAACAAACAAATGGCCTGAGAGAAGATTGAGCATGTGAATCATAGTCCCAGTTCCATAGTTTGAACAGGCATTTACAGCTTGAAGTAACGTCCATTCCTTTTTATCCATGCAGCCCAGTAAATAAAAGAACAAAAACTTAATAAAGAAAAGTTAATACTATCTTTAGATGTTTAAAATCAGAAATTAGATGATATTTGGAGATCATATTTGGAATGAAAATACAACTTAGCAGGCTATTTTTATTTTGTTTTTATTAATCATGAAGGGCCGGTAGGTAGTTCTATATTGTTATGTCAGTTAATGGAGAAGAAATATTGATTTTACATGTTTCCATTTGCCAAATATAGAAATAAAAGGCACAGACATTGTGTCCCTACAGAAGGTATTTTATATTCAGTTTTTCTCCAAGTAAACTTAGCTGTTTGAACATCTCATTTGTACAGTATCCTTTTTGCTGAGACATCATATCCACTCACCTTTGAGAAAATTTAAGGAACAACAATGTGACTGCTGAGTTACTGATTCACTTAGAATAATTATTATTCCTGTCCATTAAGGACAGATCCTATAGCCTGCTTTGAAATCCTAGGATAATAAAAAGGGAAGCTCAAGTATTTTATTTTGTTTAGTTTTATTTAAGTTTTTATTTAATTCCAGTGAATTAGTGTTATATTTGTTTCAGGAGTACAATATAGTAATTCAACAGTTCCATATACTCATCATGACTCCTTAATTCCCATAACCTGTATAACCCATCCTGGCCCCCGTAACCGTCAGATGGTTGTCTTTCCCTTTGCTTGTTTGCTTTGTTTCTTAAATTCCACACAGGAATGAAATCCTATGGTATTTGTCTTTCTCTGACTCTTTTCACTTAGCATGATACTCTTAAGCTCTAGGCATGTCATTCTTTTTTATGGCTGAATAACATGACAGTGTGTGTGTGTGTGTGTGTGTGTGTGTATACCTGTATCTATATTCTCTATCCATTTTATCCATGCATCAACTGATGGACACTTGGGCTGCTTCCAAATCTTGTCTATTGTAGATAATGTTGTGTAAGGATGCACGTATCCCCTTGAATTAGTGTTCTTATATTCTTTGGGTAAATACCTAATCATGTGATTAGTGGTTATATTTAGCAACATTAATGTTGATAACAAAATGGTGTAAATTTAACAGTTTCTATCTTTTGAGGCAATGAGTCTTCCAGGAAATAAAAATGAGAAAGAAATAATTTTCAAAAAGCAGTTCATAACCCATTAACCAAGGTGTGATTCTCAACTGTAAGGAAATGATTGGTATGAGATAGATATGAGGGAATGTAGCACCATGGGAAGAGAAATGTTTGTCCTGTAAGTATCCCATCATTCCTTGCTGTATCAAAGAGCTTCTAGTCCTGTAAGAATGTGCAAACTTCCTGGATTGGCATCAGTCAGGATCTAGTTAAGAATACATAGCTATTCTTTGTCTTTCAACAAAGATAATTATCACAGGTGGTTGATTACATAGATGTATTAAGTGTATGTGGGTTAATGTATTAGTACCTCCTTTTAAGACTTTTGCATGAGCCTAGATGGCCATCAACAGATGAATGGATAAAGAAGATGTGGTGTGTGTGTGTGTGTGTGTGTGTGTGTAATGGAATATTATGCAGCCATCAAAAAATGAAATCTTGCCGGGCGCCTGGGTGGCTCAGTTGGTTAAGCGACTGCCTTCGGCTCAGGTCATGATCCTGGAGTCCCTGGATCGAGTCCCGCATCGGGCTCCCTGCTCGGCAGGGAGTCTGCTTCTCCCTCTGACCCTCCCCCCTCTCATGTGCTCTCTCTCATTCTCTCTCTCTCAAATAAATAAATAAAATCTTTAAAAAAAAATGAAATCTTGCCATTTGCAATGACATGGATGGAACTAGAGGTTATTATGCTAAGTGAAATAAGTCAATCAGAGAAAGACAATTATCATATGATTTCACTGATATGTGGAATTTGAGAAACAAGACAGAGAATCATAGGGGAAGGGAGGGAAAAATGAAACAAGATGAAACTAGAGAGGGAGACAAACCATAAGAAACTCTTAATCTCAGGAAACAGACTGAGGGTTGCTGGAGTGGAGGGGGTTGGGAGGGATGGGGTGGCTGGGTGATGGACACTGGGAGGGTATGTGCTATGGTGAACGCTGTGAATTGTATAAGACTGATGAATCACAGACCTGTATCCCTGAAACAAATAATACATTATATGCTAAAAAAAAAAAAAAAAAAGACTTTTGCATGATTCCATGCTACTTTGCTGAATACGTATTAGGGAATTAAAGTTTGTTGTTGTCTTCCTCTGAGATATTTTAATGCTATACATTTGGGGATGATAACAAAGCTTTTAAAAGGGTGCTTTTTTATTTTTTGAATAATTTGACACATGTGTTAATGATAGGTTCCCACAGAATGCATACATACCTACATTTACCAAGGATATTTTGTCAAATATGTATATAATCTAACAGCTTTAATGAGGATATTTTGATATATATGTAGAAATTTGAAAGGTTCTAGAAATTAACCAATCTAAAGAATCTCAATTTAAAAATGAAGAAACTTGATTTTTTAAAAATATTTAAATAATGTGTACTTGATTTTTGTATCAGTCATCTCCCTGTCAAAATATATATGCATATTCACATACACACACATATGCAAACAAGCTTTGAGAGGACATAGGAAATATTTCCACTCTTAATCTCAAAACATCTCCAATGTACTCTGTCATCACATATAATCAATTTTAAATATACATATTTCAATATATACTTATATATAAACATGATTTGCATGTAAATATAAATATATATTTAATATGCAGTATATATTCAAATGATTTAGTAAATAATGTCTAGAAAATATTTTTAATTATTATAGTTTCAGAATGTATAGTTTCATACATACAACGTATGTATGAATAAATGAATATGGCATGAGAAATTACATGTTTCACTTTTAATATAGGTAGAATTTTCACAAGAAATTGAAATATACTTCTCAATAACATGTTGAACAATAAAGAAAATAATAAATTACGATCAAAATGTGTAAAATTCAAGGGACTTAAATGTCACAATTTTTTTACTTTAGAATTCAGGTATTTTAATTATCTTAAGCAAATAGTATTATGAAATATTTAATGAAGTAAGAAAATCTTGTTTAAGGACCAATCCTTTGAAAAGATATTGGATACTATTTTTTATTAGTCCCATATTTATGGTTTCTTCTTTTTATTTGTCTCAGGTTTATTCCTTTAAATTTAGCTAGATGATACCATTTAATATTTATACTCAGTAAAAGTACTGTAGTTTTTGAAAATCTGTTGCATTATAGTCAACAATTGCCCAAGTCTGATTTATTGAGCTTATATACTTTTCTTCTATATATTTTTTCCTACAGTATGAATGGAATCATTGCTGATTTTCTATGCACATAAGAATTGAATTTCTTCAAATAAATCTTATGTTTCTTTTGTGCCCACAGAGACATCTGGATACTCATCAGAAGTGTAAAAATCCCAACTAGAAAAAAAAAAAAAAAGAATTATCCTTTCTTATTTCTATGATAGATATAGCAAGTTCTATTAGAAAAAGAACCTATTTAGCTCTTAAAATATTTCTCAAGTGATACTTCTGTATCAATTTTCTTTACTCATATTAATTGCCTAGCATAATATATATTCAACTATTTTTACCACATGGTGGAATAAACATAGAAAGTACATAGCAGAGGTCAAAATAAATCCACATTTTTTTATATCCCACTGCCACAAAGTATTTCCAAATAAGGAATTTTTATCTTTCTGAATTTTTCAATAGTAGTTTTCTGTATGTATATAACATACATCTACACACACATGCATATAGCAAACCACGTTAATTATGATTCAAAAATTTTATACAGTGGAACAAATAATGGATGAAATGGATGTAATACATACCCTTTCCAATACATGCAGTTCATTTCAATTTAACTCTCTTATGTGTGTTAAAATGCCCAGCATTTAAGATCACACACTCATGCTCCCAGCCTTCCCTTCAGAGACATCACGGACACTTGAAGGACACAGCACATACACATGTCTGTCTGTGTTCATGCATAAGAGAGAGTTTCAAGTGAAGTGCATTATTATCACTACTTCTGTTAACAAATCCTTGTTGCTAATAAATATGTTTGAGCTACATTTTCTAGGTTGGATTAAGCCACAATTACCTAGAGATTTTTGTTTCATTATATTTTAATACTTCTAAAAATGTCCAAGATAAAAATAAAAATGGAAGCATAAAATCCTTTTGCAAAGCTGCCAAACTTTAGTACTATAAAAACTTGTTCTCAGAAACCATTTCTCTTAAAGCTGCACTTACTTAAATGTCAAATAACCTAGTCTTACCTGGCAGTGTTTGTGTCATGACTGTGAAACTAATCCATGATCCAATCTGTTAGATTAAAACATAAATTAATAAATACCTGTGATTAATCTAATATTTTTTTATTTGTGGTATTATATAAGTAATGTGAAAGCTTAAAACACAGTGGGAAAACTATAGGTAGAAATAAATGTCACCCAAATAATAATTTTGTTGTTAAATATGATAGTCATAATGCCATAAAAAGCATCATATTCATAAAACAAAATGAAAGATATGGTTCCAAAAACTTTGATGATAAAAAAAGGAATCCTGAGGGGCGCCTGGGTGGCTCAGTTGGTTAAGCGACTGCCTTCGGCTCAGGTCATGATCCTGGAGTCCCGGGATCGAGTCC